GTATATGTCTGAGTCAAGCAGAAAAGGTCAGATAAGGTGATGTTAGGGAAATGAACCCTAAGATACGTATTCAAATGTTTTTTTTCTTTCATGTGTTTGTTTCTAACACATTTATAAGATTTTTTCTTTGTTGCTTTGTATGTTCCTCCCCCACAGAATAACCCCTGCTTTCACTGTATTTCATGTCGGTATAATTTTTGGAGGGGAAGGGGAAAATCAAATAGTTTAAATAGAGATACAGGTGGACCCATTGCAACAATGAGATGTACAAGTCGTTATGTCGAAAACGAGCTTTACAACTTTGGTGGGGGGACGGGAGGATTAGGTAGTGGGGAGGCGAGGGGATAATGGGAAGGGATGGGACGGGGAAACAAAGGAGGAGGCTACAATGCTTGATAAAAAATGTACTCATTATCTTGCCCACCTAATTTTAAACCATCTGTACAATATTTTCACAATAAAATAAATTTAGAAAGCTATGTGTATATAATCATATAAAATGATGTTTATTGAAATTAACCTCAAAAATGGAAACAAGGTGTTCTTTATTGTACTATTTCCAGTTCTTTTTTTCCATCCTTGTTTTTATTGATTTATTCCACTTTGTTGCTATTTTTTAATTTCTGTACTCTTTTCATGGATGTAAGTTTACCTGATTTAGGGAGGGAAAATGGAAGCACACAAATAGTGGGACAAAAGGTAAACACTGTTCAAAAAGAACTCTTCTCACTTATGTACTTATGTAACTGCAACTATCTGTACATCACCTTTACAATAAAATTTAATTTTTTTTAACTTCAAATAACTCAGCAAATAAGAACAAGAATTTGCAAATGAGATTAATCAAGCTAAAAACCTTTGGCAAAACAAAATTAACACTCACCAGACTGAATAGATGGCCTGCAGAACTTACCAACTAAACATCTGGCAAGTGACTAGTGACAAGAATATATAGGAAGCTCAGAAAACTAAACCCCTAAAGAATTAACAATACAATTAACAAATTGGTGAACAAACTTGAAGATACTTCTCAAAATCAGAAGTCTAAATGGTTAATAAAGGAAATGCAAAGCCAAACAACACTTAATTTAATCTTACTCCAGTGATCATGTCTATCATAAGGAATATTTTTAAGAATGGAGGGCAAGGGAAGGTCACACACTATTGATGGAAATGTAATTTCATGCAACCACTATGGACATCAATATGTAGGTTTCTCAAGAAACTATAGATTTATGATTTGAACAAGTGCCACCACTTTGTGAGACTGAGGTCCATTAGATGCATACATGCACCTGTCTAACTCAATCCTCTGTCCAGCAAATTCATGCTACTAATAATTTAAAAAAATAAGTGATAAAATCCTACATAATGTACAGAATATACAACTGTAAAGATGAGTGGCAATCTCATTTTTTTAGCTTTTCCTTCTACATTTTAAAGTATTTTTACTGTAAAGATGCTGTACTAAGGGGTTATAGTTACATGAGTAAGGTAATGAGTGCATTTCCTATCAAGCATTGTTACCCGCTCCTTTGTTTATCCCCTACTATCCCTTCTCTCCCTACCTCTCCATATACTCCATTTCCAGGAGATGTAAAGTTCATTTTCAACATAGTGTCTTGTACATCTCATTGTTACAATAGGTCAACCTGTGTCCTTGCTTTAGCATTTTGTCATTTCCTTTCCTCTCCCCAAATTAGAAAATTGTATATTCAAGAGACAGGGCACCAGAATCAAATACAATGACAAAATTTTCTCTTGCATTTTTAAAGTACATATGTGATGTATATTTTCTGAGACCCAGTATATGGTTCTGAAGAAATGTATCAAAATATGCATCGAACACTACAGCCTTGTGTAGAATATATCAACAGCCCTGATGTAGCTCTGCTCTCTGGGACCACTGAAATCTCTGAATGGAATTCACATCTAATATATGTGAGCAAATAGAAAGCATAAAGTTACTTTTGATACTGATTTAGCTTTGTGATACAGAAGAATTTCTTCTATCACAGGCTCTCAACCCAGTGCATCATGAATAAGTCTTGATCTATTTTAGCAACTTAAGTAATAATAAAGTTTTTGAAGGTAAAATTTCAGACTGCAAAAGTGGAATTCAATTTCAGCATTAACCTTGAGTTATTGACATGTAATTTCTAGTTTGAGCAGCAGCATTGCTTCCTCAGGCAATAGTAAATGACTGAATTTTTAGAGTGCTCTGCACATGGATTTCTTATTGAAAGCTCCCTGTTATCAACCACCAATGTTCTGTGGCTGTTATGGACATTGTGTGTGTGTGTGTGTGTGTGTGTGTGTGTGTGTGTGTGTGTGTGTGTGTGTGAACACATCCTCTGGGTGTGATGCTCTCAGAACTTTAGTTGACATCTCACAGGCATATGCTTTTTGTGGACATTTCACCATGCACAGCACATGGCATCCTCTGAGGTGATCCAGTTGCATCATCCCAAATGCCTTTTATGCAAACAGTTTCTTGACACAGATATTGGACAAAAATTCCAAGATTACTCCATCTCTGGGGCCTCACTATCTGTGGTCCTGGATGAAATCATAGCACCTGGGGTGAAGAAAACTCCACAAATGTGTTTTCCATCTCATGTTTTTCTCCTGGATGAAGGCTCTGGGGAATAATTTTATACATTATTTCGGGGACTCAGAAAAGGCTTTGATGAAAGGGGAGTTATAGTGTAGATCATTATCAAAAAGGAGACACATATGCACATATAAAAAGACATACAAATATACATACCTGACATGTGGACCTCACTTCTAACCAGAAATTCAGCATGGCAGATGCTTCAGGGATGTGCCTTTTGGTTTTCACACTCCTTCTTCTCCAGCTTCCCCTCCTTGTCAGGTCCTTGGCTGGTACTAGCTGCTTCTCTACTATGAAGCACCGAGCACATATGGATGGAGACCTGATGATCACTGGATTGTTCCCTCTCTACACTTTGGGAATAGATCACAGTAACAACCATGATTCCAGCCACGAAGATCAAATGCCGTCAGTAACTCATCTTTTTATTCCCATTTACTGTTTTGTTCTGAGGATGGGCAATGGCTGAGGAAATCCTGGGGCACACATCAATGTAATCTGTCTTGTCTATGCTGAACTCCAACTGATTGCACCATGAGCAGCTCAGTCTCATCCTGTCATATGACTACAGTTGAATGATTTTCTGCCTGCTAATAGGAGAAGACCCTACTTCCTTCCATACAGCTTCTCCTTTCCAGGTCAGAAAATTCTTCACTTTACTCTAACATCCCTGTGTCTCCTCCATTTCCGCTGTCATTACAGAGAATGAAGTAATGTTATCACACTGAAGCTGAATCACTCACATGTGATCTGTACTAAAAGGCTGAAGCCACATTTACTGCTTCCATAGGCCAGTATTGTAAGAACTTTTCTTCAGTAACATCTACATTATGAGAATATGGATAAAATTTCTTATGGTAGGCTGGTGGCTCATGCCTGTAAATTTAACTACTTATGGTGCTGATATCTAAAGATCAAGGTTTGAAGCCAGCTCAGGCAGTTAAATCTGTGAGACTTTTATTTCCAATTAACCATCCAAAAGCTGTAAGTGAAGCTGTGGATCAAGTGACAGAAGTATTAGCCTGGATCAAAAAAGCTCAAGGACACTGTCCAGGCACTGATTTCATGACCTTGAACTCTCTGTCTCTCTGTCTCTGTGTCTCTCCCCCCCTCTCTCTCTCACACACACACACAAACACACACATTCTTACTGTAGACAAGTAGTTACTGTTTCAAACTATACATTGTGTCATTATTTTATATCAGATATGCTGCTCAACCCATGTCTTACCAGAAAAGTTAGCTTTTTAAAGATCACTTATGGGAGAAGTTTATCTGCCCCAGGTGAATTCTACTTTACTTGAATGATCTACTTTACTTCAATGAATGTTCTTGACTTTTGGTCTGTAACACAGAGTCTCACTAATAAATGGTTACACTAAGAAATAGAAAGAAAAGAAAACTGACTGTACAGAAATTCAAGAAACTCTAGCAAACTGATTCTTATTGCAAGAGAAAAAATGTCATTGTGACTACTATTTCCACTTGTTTACAAGGGATGGTGTGACATACTCTGAGGTAGCTGCCCACATTTGAGAACAGTGATCCAAGGGTAGGAATTACTCTCTTCTGTGCCATGGAAGATATATGACTTTACCTTATATATCACTGGTATGTAGATTATCTTTTTTCCTTTTGTGCAGGTCCTTGGAACTAAGGACCTGGGCCCTGTTTCTGAACAGTTTTGATGAAAGCTATTGCTCTAGCATTTAAACCACAGGTCCACTTCTGGCCTTTTTGGTAGTTAAATGGGGATAAGAGTCTCACAAACATCCCTGCTCAACCTAGCTTCAAACATTCTCCTCAGATCTCAGCCTCAGATCTCAGTATTTAAGCCTCTAAGCATGAATCACTAGTGCCTGGCTTAGCTTATTCTTTGTATTCCCCACTATTTACCCAGGTTCATCTGATTTTTATTCTCTAAATTTCCAAAAATACATTTGATTATTTTTGTTAGTGTGCTAATATAGACATACTGAGTATTATGGTTTAATCCATGGATGTTTCTTAGCTACCCACAGATACAAAGTAAGTCTGGTTTGGTTAGCAACATTTGATGTATGCTATTGACTACAGATAGCAATATTGATCCATAAGCTTTTCTTGCAGATAGAACACTAAATTTCAACATGAGTAGGTAAGAGATTTAGCTTGAATTTAAGCCTGCTGGCATTACAGTGATGTTTACCAATTTTTACACAATATTGGATTGTGTCAATACCTGGTTTATATTGCAGTTCCACAACACAGGTGTGTACTTTGATTATATTCAAACACTCTTTTATGATCATGTTTTATACCTTGTTGTACATCCTTTTTTCTCTCCCATATCTCTAAGTTCTGCTCATTTTCAGCTTTCTGATGTTGCTAAGCTCAAGACACTAGTACTTTGTTTGCTTCGCATTTGTGGATAGCTTTTTCTCTCGAAGATGATACTCTTCCAATTGAGCTTCATATCCACTTCTAGCTTTTTGTTGATTAACTTAAGATAGAATATCATGGACTTTTCTGCCCCAGCTGGTTTTGACTCAGGATCTGTGGTTCTCAGCCTCTTGATCAGCCAGGATTAAAGGCAAAATCTACCAGTAGAGGTAGTTTTAATTTCTTGAAGAATCTCCAATCTTTAATTTTTATATACCATCACCAAATGGACAATTTATATCTGTGTTGATGGGCAATTGATGGGTGTCATCATTGCTCAAATCATTAAATATTTTTTGGTGCTGATTTCTATTTGTACTTTCAATTTTTAAAGGCTCTCTTCCTTGATTGGATTTTTCTCAAATGCTATTTAAGTCTTAAAATTGTTTTACACTATGCTGTCTGTCCTCTGTGAGATGAGTACCTAGCAAGATTTTTAATTATTCATTTGTCTGTCCCACCAGTTCTCTCATTGTGCTGAAACTTTTCTATTAGGTACAAGGACAGTTACTTTACTTTTCCACTTTTGGGAGTGGAATTTAGGGCCTTGCAAATAAGACAAATGACTCTACAACTTAGTGAAAAACAGAGCTTAATCCGTGCTATTATTTTATGAGCTATTTGAGTTCTGTGTAAGTTACTTCTGTATGTATGGTTTCCTTTTCTCTATTACATGCAAAGTTCTAGTCTCTATTAAGAGCTAATAAGGATATAGAGCTGTGGCTCAAAGTGGCAAAGTGCTAACTTTGAGCAGAAGAGTTCAGGGACAGCACCCAAGCTCTGACTTTAAGCTCCATGATTGACAAAAAGGGAAAAAAAGAAAAAAGCTGTTTAAAAAAGCTGATTAATTTTGATTTTACAAATACAAAGGGTCTAGTTTTAGCATTTCACACATGTATATCCAGTTTCACAACACTACTCTTGCTAAAGGTGTCATGTTTAGGCTATCTATTATTTAGCAACTTCCCCAAAAATCACATACCTGTAGTGTTTATGTAATTACTTCTTGGACTTATTTTTAAAGTTACTTTTGTATGGATGTTTTCCTTCATTTTTTCTATTACTTGTAAAGCTCCAGTCTTTAGTAAAAATATAATTAGGAGCTGTGGCTCAAATGCTAGACACTAACCTTGAGCAGAAGAGCTCAGGGACAGCACCCAGGTCCTGAGTTCAAGCCCCATGATGGACTAAAAACATTGTTTTTAAAGAACTGATTAATTTTGATTTTAAAAATATTAGGGGTACAGTTTTAGTGTTTTACACATCGATACCCAATTTCAGAATGCCACCCTTTGCTAAGAGTATCATGTTTAGACTCTGGATTATTTGGAAGCTTCTCCAAGAATCAGCTATCTGTAGTTTTTTTGCAATTACTAACTTGGCCTTATTTTTTGTATCTATGTGTCTATTTTTAATCAGTGTTTTCTTCTGCTGTTATGGGCAGAAAAATAGGCATAGGGATAGTTCAGTATTACTCATGTCTGAAGATAGCTCTGGCTAATTGAATAATTCTTTTTTCCCAATATTTCATTTTGCCATTTCTACTTGTGTGATTGAAGTGTAAGGAATATTGATGGAGACTGAACTGAATCTGTAAATGATTTTTCAGCAATATATTCACTGTACTGATTCTAGCATACAGAATAATGGGAGGTATGTGTGGCTGACATGTGTAATGTTATTGCTTTCCCATTTGATGCATCATGATTTTTATTTAAGTCTTATGGCTGTGTTGTTTTTGTGGAACTTTCTGTTTGCTAGATTGATGAATGTTGTTGTGTTTTTTCTCTAATACTTTTACTTCTACTTGAATATTTCATTCCTTCTACTAAATTTGTTTTTTTTCTAGTTTCATGAGATACAGAGTATCTATACTCATGATTTAAACAAAGGTCATTTTTTCATTTAATTTCCTTTTTTATATTTGTAGGTAATAAGTAAATTTCTGGTCAAACTTGTTACCACTTCCCTCATTTTCTCCTACTTTCCCTCCTCCACACACCAACATCTCCAAGTTGTATAGGTCATTTCCAATATATTGTATTATTTATATTGCTGTTGCATTGGTTTCCCCCTTGTCCTTTGTCTCACCATTCTGTTGTTCCCATTCCTTTCCCTAGTTCAAATATATATATATATATATATATATATATATATATATATATATATATATAATTCCAGGGTACCAAAATCAAATACAGAGAGAACAAGTGATATAGTATCATTTTATTGCTCCTTTCTCAATATCTATAGATTCTCACATCCTGTTTTAATTTTTTTGTCCAAATGGTTTTGTTTATTTCTTGCAGTTTTCCTTAAAAACATGTCATTTAATCAAGTTTTAATCAGTTAATTAAACTGAATAATTTTGACTACATTAAACTATTCATTTATTGATAAAAACTATTCCATTGTATGTTCATGTTAAGTGCATATTGTCATGGTTTTCCTGTAGCCTTACTAGAGTGTGATGGGCACAATTATAGTAATTGATTTGCATATATTGAACCAGCTTTGCATCCCTGAAATGAATCCTGTTTGTTCATGGTGTATGATTTTTTGGATGAATTGTTGAAGTCGATTGGCCAAAAATTTTTTGAGAAGTTTTGCATCAATGTTCATCAAAGAAATGGGTCTAAAGTTCTCTTCCTTTGCTGAGTCTCTGCCTGGTTTGGGGATGAGAGTTACGATGGCTTCATAGAATGCGTTTGGTAGTTTACTTTCTCTGGAGGAGTATTGGTGTGAGCTCTGCTTTTAATGCCTATAGAATTTCACTGTAAAACCATCTGGTCCTGGGCTTTTCTTAGATGGAAGGTCTCTTATTGCTGTTTCTATTTCAATGCTTGATATTGGCCAGTTAAGATGGTTTACCTCAGGGGCTTGGGGTTTAGCCCAGTGGAAGGGCACCTGCCCAGCGCGCGCAAGGCTCTGGGTTCGGTCTTCAGCCCTGGAAAAAAAAAGATGGTTTATCTCATTTAGTTTAGTTG